TCATCCCATCATAGAAGGCTATGAGGTTCATCAGACATGACTTCCCCTTGGGATAAGCTCAAAGTATTTTGATGATTATGTAACAATCATTTACTTTAAAATGTTTCACTAAGCAACAGTCTGCTTTTAAGTTAAACTATTAATACAAAAATTGCTTTTTAATTCTATTCAATGGAACCAAACACAAGAAAAACAAATTGAGAAAGTATGAAAATATTCTATCATTTCCCAGCAAATATCAAAATATTGCTTATTTAGAAATTCTTCCATAACAAAATAGTGCATTTTAATGGTTTAGATGAAGGAAAACATTTGCCCAGTTTAAGTTTCAAGATCTGGCCTTACTATTCCCAGAACATACATACAGAATACACAGCACGCCTATAGAGTGTGTGAATGAAAACACTTTTTCCAATAAAGTCAGGTATTTATGGATTCAGGACTTGTTAAAAATAGCTTGAATTTTTAAATGATGAGCAGATCTCCTTAACTGGAGAGCCACAAGATTCCCAACACTTCTGCTAGCAGAATCAAAGTGCAGCAGACTGGAAGAAAGAGGAAAACAGTAAGCCTCAAACCTTACATTTCCAACAGATTCTTCTCAGCTTTGTATTGCTATCTGTACCATGTATGTATGTTAAGTCACCCTAATCCTGCCATGGTCTTCTTATACATTTATATTGAATAAAAAAGTTGTTTTTCAAATTTAGCAATTCCTTTTCCAAAGGGAAAAGATATAGAAATCCCCACATTGTTTGGAGCATGTGGGGGTCTGGAGCTGTTTTCAATTCTGACACTACCTCTCGTTTGATAGTAATCACATTATTACATTACTCCCTGACTCAGCTTTCTGAACCATAAAAACCACTCGTCCTAAAGAAAAGTAATCTGAGATTTATAGATGAAAAAATTACTACGTAATGCCACAAAGCTTTTTTTTTTTTTTTTTTTTAAAAAAAAAGGTTATCTAGATTAAATGTGCTTAAAATCACTTTTTCATTTTCCAAAATATATCCTGAAATTTCCAAAATTTATTCCATTTTAACTACTTCAAGTATTTTCGTTCTGGCATCAGTATTCTAGCTGAACAGAGAGGACTATTTATTGTAAACAGCAGACTGCCTGCACACATTTATAGCCACATGCTTTGACAAAATGTGTGGTTTAAGCAGCATCTAGTGGTTAAGTTTATATAAGCAGCCATTCCTATTTAGCTCTGCTTCCACTTTTCTCAATATAGCATCTAGGCATTATGGAAATAGGTTGGCTCCACCAAATTCAAGATTCAAACATAATCTTGCTTTAAAAGAATCTCTGTATACTATTATCTTTAATGGAAAGCAAGGAGGAAAGGCACAATATACTGCACTAACCACATCCTTTAAAAAAAATGGATTTATTGCAGAAAAAGATTGAACTATCTTTAAGCAAGGGCCACAGATACAACATTTCAAGTGATTCTTTCAAAGCCATTTCCTATCCGAGACAACCTCATGTCCTCCTAGTAAATGTGGTAAGTGAGGACTCTCTCACAGGCTTCTGTGGATGTTATTGTTATATAAAATGAATAAGTATCTTGCATCAAGATAATGTTAATGAATGCTGCACCCTGGGTCAGATAAATCACTGCCAAGCAAGTGTTTTCAGATCTTGTTGGAATGATTTACATTACTGTTCACAGCTGCATTCGATACAAGCTGTGTTTATGTCCCAGTACATGGTCACTCCAAATATACTAGCTTAAGTGGTAAAATTCTCCTCCTTATATGAAGGGAAACACCTCACTTTGCATTGCACATTCACAGCCAACAAAGTAAACTGTCATCAAATGCCTGATATTAATTTTGGCCCAAAGATATGATTTTAATTTGGTCATAATTTAGAAGACGAACTCTAATCAACACCAGCATATAAAATATTTGAGGGCATACCATAGTTGAGCAAAGAACTCTAGGAAAAAATATTATTTATGTTGCAGAGAAATTTTGAACGCATAAATATAAAAGGGAAAATTAACAGATGTAACTCTGCAAAAATGTAAAGCATTATATAAAGAGTTGCCAAAACAAGCAAAGTTTCTCAGGCAACATCTATAAACACCACCTACCCTCAAGATTTCCATCAAATGAAGGAAAAAGCCATGTATAAGCATATCTTATTTATGCAGTCACAGTTTGTAACCTTTAATTCATCATAGAAATGAAGCAATGAAAATATGCTTATTTACTTATTCAAATAAAACATCTTAAGCATTTTAAAATTTGTAACTAGCGCTGAAATGAAAAACTAATAAAGATCAACCTATGCAGCAAATTCTAACACCTGCAAATGCCACGGAGGGGCAGTACCATATTACTGTGACCCAACCTGTAATAAGCTCACCAAATGATGCCCCAAAGCCATTCTGACCTGTTTGTTTGTCCACAAGTCTTCTGCAGCCAATACACCTCACCATAAAATGGGACTTCTGCTTATTCCTCCAAGTCTGACCTTTCATCTGCAAAGATGATGATGATCTTCAGCCTTTAGTATTCTTCAGAAGCAGAAAGGCTTCTTTTCCAATTGAAAAACAAAGGAACTCACTTACGTACTGCAAGCACCAAAAAGCCTTAGCAGAAAGAAAAATCTGTCCTATAAAACAAGTCCCTGCTTTCACCTGCCTTGATTATCACGTGGGTCTTACATTCAGTGTCCATGGGGCTTAAACCCTCCTCAGCCAAAACACGGAACTGCCTTCACCCATCAACTTTGGGTAGCACAAGGCCGTGAGAGATACAAGGGTGAAGGTCCCAGGAATATGTCGATTAGAACAGTGCCAACATCATCATCACAAAAAGCAAAACCCCAAAAGACAGACCTGCTTTCTGTTTGTATTAAATCAAAAAAAAAAGGCTGCTGATGGATGTAGTGGGGGGCCATATCTTCAAGGATGTTTTCTGTCTAATGAACAACAAAACGTACAGGTGAAGTGAGTTAACGTCAAAAATGTTCACCACTACCCAGCTAGGGAAACGGTATAGAATACTTGAGAAGAGTTTTACCTATTTTTTTCCTAGGCCTGTAAAGTATGACTAACATTAAACAATGCAAATTGTTTAATCTGTTAATTTTTGGGACTTGGATTATAGAACACTCGATGAAAAACAAAAGAAACCCTTAAGCAATGCTGCATTTTACCTTAAAGTTTTTTTTTTTCTTTTCCTCAGCATGTGTTTCCAGCCATCCTCACATTTACAGGTAACCTGTAGCTTGAAAAAGCGCCAGCCCTGTGATTCAGTACATCACACACAAGACCAAAGCAGTGTCTCATCCTTCCCTTCCCCATTAGCTCTCCCCCAGGAGCACCCCAAAACTCTCCTCCTCCAGCAGTTATTTCCTTGCCCAATTCCCTCTCTTTCTGTGTGAAGCCTTTTTACATAACAGTACTTGTTGCAAGATGACAGCTATGAGAACTGCACATAATATATGAAAAAAAACATTTTCTAAAGCACTATCCTCAGCTGAACCAGTGTTTTAAAAATTCATTGGAAGAAACAAAAGTGATGTGACAGTTTTTACTCCATTTTAAAGATGTTTTACTCCATTTTAAACTATGGTTTATAACATTAAAACTTCAGTGTTTTCAAAGAATGGGGGTGAGCTCAATACTTAAGAAGCTCCAGAAGACCACTGAGAACTGTAAGGCTGCTTACACATAAGTTATACGAATTAAATACTCTTTAAGAAAACATTAAGAAAACATTTAAGAATTTAAGTGATGAAAATCACTTTTAGGGAGCCAATTTTGCTTGTGTTAAACAGAAGCCATGCCTGAATGGGGTACCACATCATTCTGACTTGCTCTCAGCTTTAGAAATAAAACCATGGCAAATTTTCATTTAAATGAAGCCAAGAGCAGTTTAATGTATTAGCACATTATTCAGTATCTGGTATAAAACACATGCTGTCTTAAGAGTGGAGGTCTGAAACTCAAAGATTTCAAGGCCTCTAGACAAACCTTCGGCTGTGAAGGCTACAGAACCTTATTTTCTTATTATTTTGAGTCATTTTCATTCTGAACTTTCATTCTTAAATGAAAGGAATTCTTCCAGACTGCAGAAGGGTGAAGACTGATATTTGAGAAAAGTAGAGAGCTACTGGATTACAACACAAATGCTTTAAACACTAGGAGCCACTGTGGTTCACAGCTGGCAACATGTCAATATTGGTGCTTAATTTCTTACACAACAGAGAAAATAGGAAGAAAAAAAAAAAACCTTAAAATATCACTTGCAATCTCAGAATCACCCACCTTATACACAATGTAGGTTAGGGAGGAAAAAAAATGAGGATTATTAAACTATGACAGAAACTCTAGCAGCTTTAAATGAGTGTTGATATTAATCTTCCTTCCTCCTTAAAAGAATGTGTGTTGAAGCCCTTATTAAATTTTACTAGATTTCAGTTAAACCTTTTGTTTCTTTCTTTCTTCTTGACAATAAAAGATTTCCACATATTGTAATTCTAATGTAGAAAAAAATCCTTTTATTGGCAGCTGTTAATTAAACTGGGGTTCTAACTTGTTACAGCTTGAACACAGCCTCAGGTGCCATTTTCTTCACTGAAATCTAAAGACTAAATGCAAATACTAAATCCTGCCTTTTCTTGCCAGTTAGCACTAAAAGGTTTAGCATGGAATACGAATTTATGAACAACTGTAAAAGGACATATTCATGTTTTGACAAGTTTTTATTGTGAAACATTGGATTTAAAAAAAGGTACAAAACGTCAACGGGCAGAGGTGTGCCAGTACAGTATTTCAATAGTCTATACATGTGGACAGCTGAATCGCTTCACTGCAGAATGCATAATTTTACATACTAGCTAAAAGGGGACCGCAATATTAACAGGCTTAAAATACATAAATAACTTGAGCCAAAAAAGGCCATTACCGGTCAATGCTAATCGACATCTGAAAACAGGCTAAAAAGCACAATACGTTACAACAACCTCCTTGTAGGTCCACGTTTAAAGAACATCAGTTTATTCTGTCAATAATCTACAGCTCCAGGACACCATTTTCAGGACTGGGATTCGGTTGGCTAGTTTACAACTTAAAAAAATTCAAGTTAAAAAATGAGATTATAGAACAAAGAAGAGCAGATATTTACTTACAACTAAATACCGTGAGGTCCGTAAATGTTTTTCACACTGGGATTTATAAAATCAATTATTTCTTATATGGAACTTCAGTTTGTTACTTCAAAATATCCTTACTGCAATTTAGATAGATATCATTAAATTATTCTATATTCAAACACATTTGCTATGCAGTTCTGTGTTTTAAAACCAAATTCACCAAACACGGGTGGCCATTCAACTGGAGAAAACCGGTATCAAAATATTACTCTGAATTAATGAAAGTCCAACTTGCATATTAAAAAAAACAAAGACCCTCAAAGGATAGCAGCACTCTCTACCCTAGTTTAGCAAGTTTAAAGAACATTTACAAATGCATAAATTTGATTTTAGTGTATAAAAAAATACACATAAACAACAGGAAACAAGCTAGCTTGATTTTCAAATTATTCAGTAGTCTGTCAGTGCTGGAACTTATTTGAACTACTGAAAAGGAGTTCACAGTTCAGAACATGGGTGGAGAGCCAAGTAATTTTAGTTAATTAAAATGTGTAGCTTAGTCTACACAATTAAGCTTACTGAAATATAAGCAGATACCCTGTTACCAGTCAATACCCAGAGCTGAACTAAAACCTTTACTCACATAAGTCTGCTCCAGTTTGTATGATATGTAATGCATTTTCCTGAGCAGAAACCTTGGAATATATTAAGGGATGTTTAACAGAAATTTCTGGATATGACTAATGTCCTTTAGGAACAGAGCTAAACCTAAACTGATGCCATTTAGAACCAAAATCCAATCAAAAGATTAAAACAAAAACCTTTAATTTGACATCTTGCCCACTCCCTTAACTAATTTCAAGACCATCAGTTTTGGCTACTGTTTTCTCATTGAGTATCTTTATCAGGGGATAAGAATCCTGCAGCTCATTAAGAGTCACCATAAGTTACAGCCAAGTACATTAAATTAGACAATTGGAATATTTTTTTTTTTTTTTAAAAAGTGTGTATCACTAATTAATGATAGAGCACTACATCTGGTGTGGAATTAAAATTAGCACTGTGCCAAAGGGAAAAAAATATAAAAACTAACTCCTAAACTCTAGTGTGGCCAAAAAACCCCACGTCTTTTGTTCAGGAAGTGTTTGGCATGAGCAGCACTAACAAAATTCTACATCTCACATCCACGGTCTACAAAGGTCATCTAAAGCCAAAACTCACTGCCATCAATTAGCTAGCTCCTAATGCTGCTTCAAGCACTGCCCTAGCCTCTTTGATCTTTGTTTCAGGTTCCTCTGTACACACATTTATATTTACATAAAACATTTATTAAACATGATTTTAAAACATAAAAAACCCTATGTACAAAATACCAACATTCCTATAAATAAACAGTTGGAGAAAGGCACTTGCAAGAAAAATCTACAGTAAATCTTACAAAAAACACACTGCCTCTGTTACTGTACAATAGATAATCTTTCAGGAAAACCCTATCACAAGAATGTAAAACACTAGTTACTTGTTATAACTAAGAATATAACCATTACAATTGTATTTACAAATATATACATGTGGTTTTAGTTTCACTTGAGAGCACCATGATTTCCACCCTAAATTTATATTTTGATACAAAGTAAAAGAACAGTTGCCAGAAACCAGTATTCAGAGTCACTGCAGGTTCACAAACTTTTGGCTGACAGGAGCTTAGAAGATTCAGCTGCTGCTTTGCAGAACGCACTCCTGGTTTGTTATTGCGTTTTGTCCTTTAGGGAGAGGACTGCTATGTTCTCTATGCACTTGTTTAATACTATTGCTGGCAAAAAAGTTTCCAATATCAAAAAAATAAAAACATTCTTCAAGCCAGTTGAAGTATTTTATCTGAACAGTAACTAAAAAAAGCTGCATATTAATTATAAAAATGTGTAGGAAACATGCCAACTAATCTGGTGTGCAAAAATAATTTTCCACTACACAGGATTTTAAGGGCTTCACTGAATTACTCAAATTTACATTGAGTAGTAAACCCCATGAACAACCAGTTCCTCAAGGAGATGTTAATATACTCCCACTTTTATCAAACTTTTTACCCTTTGACAAAGCTGCAACCTGTTTGAGTAGTTCTCTGTTTTTGGCCTGCAACACAAAAAAAAAGTTTTAGGATTACTTAAGAGTTCTCAGATAGGGGTGTCATGTACTTATCTCTTGAAATGTGCATGCTGGAAATACTCTAAGATTCCATCATTCAGGTTTCAAAGATTTATTTGCGCTATCAGACAGCAGACACAGAAAAGTAATATAACTTTCAAAAACACTTAAGGCAAGCCTCCAATTCTCTACAGAACTGAGGTAAAAACAGATTCTAAGTTAAACGTGGTAACAGCCAGTCAAAAAGTTGAATGGGAAAAGCCTAAATGCCTAATTCCATCTGAAGCATATGCGAAGTTATGATAAGAAATTACTTACCTGCAACTGTTCCACAGTTTCCTTGTGAGCTTTCTCCATACTGTTCATCTTCGTCCTCAAGTTTGACTCCTGATACTGGAAGTCAGCCTTCAGCTCTGTCAACTAAAACCAGAAATGCTATAAAGACTCCTTGGATGTCCTGTGATCAGTCTGCAGGATTTTACAAAAGCCTCAAATCTCAGCAACATGGGCTTTATCTACTAGTTCACTATTAACAGTCCAGCACTTGAGAAGTAGCTTGAAAAGAATGTGTGTTTTATATGAGGGAAGAACACTGCATTTATATAACCATATTGTTTATTCAGGATTTGGGGTATAGAAGATTAACTCCTCACTGGGGTGGGGGGAAGCTAAACAGCATTACACAGCTGTACAGGCCTTGCTGTTCTTTTCCAGATGTGAGACACCTGCCACAATCTTCAGTTATGTCTCATGCAGGTATGATTTATACAGTATGGTTAACACACAAGCACAGAACGGCTGAGGTTGGAAGGGACTTCTGGAGACCTTCTAGCCCAACATCCCTATTCCATCATGGTCACCTACAGCATGTTGCCCAGGATCACGTCCAGGAGCGTTCCGAATACTTCCAAGAGAAGGGGCTCCACAAACTCTCTGGGCAACCTGTTCCAATGCTCTGTCACCCTCTGTCATCCTCACCGTCAAGAACTTTTTCCTCAAATTCAGACGGAACTTCCTGTACTTCAGTGGTCATTGCCTCTTGTCCTGTCGCTGGGCACCACTAAAAACAGTCTAGTCTCATCCTCTCTTCACGCTCCCTTGAGATATCGGTACACGCTGATACGATCCCGCCTCAGTCCTCTCTTCCCCAGGCTGAACAGGCCCGGCTCTCTCAGCCTCTCCTCATAAGGGAGATGCTCCAGTCCCCTGATTGTCTTTGTTGTGCTCTGTTGGACCCTCTCCAGTAGCTCCACATCCCTCTTGTCCTGGGAAACCCAGAACTGCACCCAATACTCCAGGTGCGGCCTCGCCATGGCTGGGCAGAGGGGCAGGATCCCCTCCCTCCACAGGCTGGTAACATCCTCCTGATGCAGCCAGAAGCCCATTGGCCTTCTTGGCCACAAGGGCACTGCTGCCTCATGGTCAGTCTGTAGCTCCCCAGAACCCCCAAGCGCTTCTCCCAGAGCTGCTTTCCAGCAGGTCAGCCCCAATCTGTCCTTGGGCCTGGGGTTATCCCTAGCTCCTCTCTAGATGCAGGACTCTGCACTTGCCTTTCCTGAACTTCATGCAGTTCCCCCTGCCCATCTCCCCAGCCTGTCGAGTTCCCCCTGCCCAGCAGCCCAGCCCCCTGGGGGCATCAGCCCCTCCTGCCACCTTCGGATCACCAGCAAACTCACTGAGGAGGCCCTCTGTCCCGTCAAGCAGGTCACTGATGAAGAAGTCGTCTGTGACAGGACTTGGCACTGAGCCCTGGGAGACACCAGCAGCCACAGGCCTCCAACTAGACCCTGCACCACTGATCACAATCATTCGAGCTCTGCTATTTAGCCAATTCTCAACCCACCTCCCTGTCTACTCATCTAACTTGCACTTCCTGAGCTTGCCCTTGAGGATGGTACAGGAGACAGTGTGAAAGCCTTGCTAAGATCAAGTAGACAACATCCATTGCTCTCCCCTCATCTGCTCATCCAGTCATTCCACACAACTCTCCCCCAGACAGATAATAAAAATGATTCCTTCGGAATCCTTTACATATTGCCATTTGACTTAAGCAGACTATAGTTTGCCACAAAAGTAGTATATATTCCAGAGCTTCAATGCATCTAAAGCCACAGCAGTAGAAATTTAAACTGTATTAGAAAGGTATAATTGAAATTGCTTAAGATAGAATTTAATTGTGAACATAGGCTGTTGAATCCTTGCACTGAATTTCTCCTAAGACCAGCAGAGGACCAAATTGGCAAGTGTTGCTAAATTGTGATACATACTTTTATCCCAACAGCTGAACGCTTCCTCTGGAAGCACCTGGAGCCACACGAACTGCTACTACCGAATTTGCTGTACTTGAACCCGGAATTTTTAGCAACAGTCTTCTTTAAAATGTTCAGTTCCTCAAAGTGGACACAATGCACCTTGCTCTTTTGAGCTTTTCAGGTCAATTTGGATCAGGAAATAAAGACTCTTACCTGGCAAAGAAGCTGGCTATAGAAAACAGAGAAGACATTCCTAAAATAACTACTAAGATTGCTATTACTAACACCAGTGTGCCTTGAATCAAAAGTAATGAAAAAAGATAGTCAAAAGAACAGTCAACCACATGGTGCTAAAAAGAAAACTCAAACGTCTTGATACATGGATGTACACATTGCTGTAGACAGATTGCTGCTCAAGATATGTACTTAGCAAAGCTCTTGTAAAATCCTGAGGAAACAGTACAAAACCACAAGCCATAAACCTCAGGTATCCAAAACAAACAAACAAACACTACCTACCAGTAATACTGCACCATTACAAAATGTGCAACTAGACTACAAGGGGAAAGTAGGCATCTCCTGGTGCCTCATACTAACATTTTGTCCAAAAAGTGAAATAATGTATTACTGCAAACAGCAAGCACCTGTAACAAGTTAAGATCTTGACTCATGACAAAACACGATGGACAAGAACTGCACAGCACTGTAGAGTTGTACTATAGTATATCTCTCTAGAGGTGTAAGCTTAGCATTTCCTGAAGTTAAATATTTTGAAGTTACTGCTTTTCCATTTGTAACACTCTGAACCAAACTCTGGCCAAACGCTTGTCCCTATACAAATCTAGGAAAAAAGTTTTAACAGGGATCTCTCCCAACTTCTGGTTCAGGACTGACATTTGCAGACCTCTACCCCAGCACATGTCTTTGTATTTACTGACTCACAGGCAGAAACTTAGGCCATGCGTTCATTCCTTGCATTCCGTTCAGCTATGCAAATATTTCATGCGTTTTCTTCCTCCCAGCAGCTACAGAAAGTCACCAACACTCTGAAAGGGATTAATTAACGCCTGAAAAAGTTTAAGTTCCAAGAACTCTGAGGCCTAAGAAAGTTTTAGCAGGAGGAGTATGGAAACCATCAGATACTCCTCCATGGAAACAGCATGAATGCAGCTTATTGCAGGGGGTACGCACGAGTAGGTGACGTTTCTCTTTGGTTAGCTTTACCAGTACTTAAAAACAGATATAGGAATTTCATACAGATTCCTGACCTTATGCTGTCTTACAGGAGTGGGATCAGAGCCTTACTGCTTGTCTTTTCAAGACAAATTCCCCAGGAGGATCCAAGACAGACTGTGCAGTTCTGTCACGTTAGCACTTAGAGGCTTGAAACGGTGAATTCCATCACTAGTAACATCAGCAGGGATAATAGTGAAGCAGGGATGAACCTAGAGAGGTTCAAAATTCTGTTCACATTAGCTTAAACAGAGAAATTCAGGTGCTGCATTTCTACATTTTTTAAGTGGAAGCAACTTCCTGCTAGGACCAACAAGCTGTTCTTAACCTGCACATTTCTAGTAGGCCACCACGCACCTATAATCAAACTTACATTTGAGTGTAATATAAATATTATTTTACCGTAATTCCATGACTTAATTCTGCACAGACAGGCCAGAGCCACCACAACAGACAGTGTCGGGAAAGTATCTCACAAATCAGAGGGCAAATAAAATAAGCTCGAATAAAGGCCAAGCTAACTGCACACTCAGAGTTGCTTTTCTTTCACTGCAAAATTTAATCTCTTGATTGAGCTTCACTGCAGTAATTATAGGCTCGACTTCACTTAACATTTGCCATTTACCAAACATCAATTCATGCTGCTCTTCTAGTCTTCGAGCACAGACTAGATAACCTACACTACACAAAGACTATCAAAATTTTAAAATGATCGAAACACTTCACTTCTCCTCCCTATAACGGAAAACAAAAATCAAAAAAATCCCGCATACCTCTGTACTACACACACCTCTAATTCTGTCATGAATTATTACTATTGTAGCTTTTATTTAAAGGAAAAAGTAGGTTAAACTTGAACCATTTACTGCTTTTATTCCCCATGTTGGGGGGCCTGCCAGAGTTCATAGATACGTTCTGGGATCTTTGTTTTGACTGAATTAAAAATACTTAAACCACCACCTGGTATTTTAGCCATCACCTGAGCAAAGAAGCAGGAGGAGCAGTGAACTAGCTGGCTAACTTGCACATGGCTACAAGTGAAATGAGATTAATTCCTCTTTGCCTCAGAGCCAAATTATATTCAAGATACAAAAGCTGAGAGCTTGTCCTTTAAAAGACAAAAATCTGATGAGCTTCTCTATAAAAAAAAGTAGTATGTGATTTTTTGTTTCATCATACAATTTGACAGAATTGTTAGGAATCTATAAAGTAGAGGATAAATTTATACAAGTCTTATTAAGCAGATGCAACTTTTACCTTTTTATCTTTTTCTAAAATGGTCTGATCTCTTTGCTGCAGAAGTCGTTTAAGGGACATTACTTCTTCTTTCAGCTGACTTATGAGGACAAAGTTGTCGGTTCCCCCACTGTCTGCTGACTGATTTATAGAGCTACTAAAAATAAATAAATAAAAATTACTTGCAACATCAATATAAAAAAAATGTATTTTTTAAAGTTCAAATGGGATAATTAACAATTGCACAAACATCCTTAAAGACTAATGCAAAAAAAGTATGTACCTGACAGAAATTGATGGAACTGGCAAATTACCTTACTAATGGCACACATTACATACACCTGCAGAAATATAATTAAGTATTAGCTTTGAGGGGGACAAATACCTTTTGACTGAAGCAGCCACTTATATATTTATACCAACTTTTTGGCCAGAGGCACAATAAAGATTCAGTCTCAACACATTAATGTTCAAAAGACTTCTTTTAGATACTAGGTCAGCTTAAAGCAGCAGGTTCAACCCTGCATCTGCACTGACGTTACAGAACACTGTTTCTTTGATAACTGTTGCTTCCTACATACACTTTATTTAATTTTGCCCCAGACAGCTTAAAAGCAGGAACACAGTGCCAGTTTTGTGCTAATTAAGTCTTTTAGCTGACCAACAGCACTCAAGATGCCACCCAATAATCTGTTTGGTGGAACAGTTATTTTCACTTCCCTCGTTCTCTAGAACAAATAAATAAATAAATAGATAAATAAATAAATAAATAAATAAAGTAACTGGCCACAAATGAGTGCTCTACTTGGCTGAAATGTCTCAGCTGTACAAAGATGTAACTTTACCTATCTCCATTTGATGGCTTGGATTCCAGTTTGGGTTTTTTCTTTGGAGTTTCATTCTGAATAGCTGCAGAGGATTTATGGCTGAAATCAAACAAAATGTAAACCTAAAGCCTCATACTAAGTAACTCTCTAACATCACCATTTGGTACATATAAAATAACTAACTCATGCTGCTAGCTGGAATGCTAGAAATTAAATCAGAAATGTGAAGAAATGGATCCTTTAAATACAATCTGTGGGATAAATTAAAAGGAAATTAACATATGCTATCATACTTACCTCTGTTTCCATAGTCCCTGATCTTGTTCTGGACTCAGACTGCTGATTCTGAAATATGTGAAATGTACTTAGGGAAAGCAATGGAGCAAACATTATCTTTTCCTTCTAAATTTATGCAAATAATATCTATTCTTTTCCATAAATAAAATTACCGATTATGAATTCCCAGTTGGACAGTCACATTGCCTCTCATATTTGTAATCACTTTTTACTAAGGTTTAAATGCTATTGAAATATTTTAGCTAAATACTTACATTATCACAAGGCACAAGCAGAAGACTTTAAGCCTGGCAGCTACATCTTTTTCATCATTTCCTGTTTTTCGTCCGCTTTGTATTACTAATCTTGCAATTTGGTCTAAAATGAGACCATACTTTGTAATAAAGGAACACTACCTAAAAAGCCGTCCACTTCTGTACTACTACTGCCCTTAGCTGTGGCTCAAAAGCAAGGAAAGCTTCGCATGCCCAAAATACAGTTTTAGCTTGAAAAGCAGCAAAAGCAGCATAGGTCTTCAATAATTTCAAAAGTAACTTCACCAAACCCCATAGTTATAGGAATCACTAATGGTAAAATTTAGATTACACTGAATGAAATCATTTCAATGACTTCATACTTCTTGCTCATGTTATTCTCTTATCCCCCAAAACACTTCAAGTGGATGAGGAATCTATTGGTCCTTAAGCAACAGACCCTAGGCATCCTATAGGAAAAAGGTGCTAAGCCAAGACCATTACAACCTAAATACATCGAGATAAGCTTTTCCTAACAGCTCCTGAGTATATCAGGAATTCTGTATTGAAGAGCTATCATTTTTAATTGAATCTTTACTAGATAATTGCCAAACTTGCCAAATCAGATATACCTTGTTACAACACAATTTTTGGCAGAGACTAGAGAGAACAATAGCAGTATAATAACTCTCTGCTTGACAAGCATAATTTCCTTCAAATTCCTGATGAACTGGTTTATTTCCTTTTTAAGGGAAAATGTATTTCTCTCCTCCTCATTCTTGGTAACATCCCAGATTATTTTGCTTCTGTCTTTAAAAGTCTTACTTGGTGAAATATGTTTTGGAAAAAATGGAAAATTACATTATAAAAGTGGAGCTTAAAATAAAAGTGTTTGTATGTCCCTTAATGATAAGGCTCATTAGCATTGCAGTGATAGAAGGATAGAAGGATAGAAGAAGGATAGAAGGAAGTTCTGAAGTATACTCATAAGCCTATCACATAATCACCATTATATTGGTATATTAGCAAGGAAAACAAACAAATCAATCCTGGGACTCAGAACTGGGTAAATGGAGTACTGGTAGGTTCTTAATGCCACAGACTGAGAGAAAAGCCAGAGAAAAGTTCAGAAAAGTTGCAAGATGAGCCAGAATTATGTGAATTGTTAAGAGTGCCAATAACTGAACTGACAGTGCCATTTTCCTAAGTCTGCATGACAGTTGCTCACAAACCATCCCTTAACTCTGCCTCCTCCAGCAGAGTGACCACCAGAGACACACAGACTGGTCCTTAACCGAGGGCTATTCCACATGGGTGCTCAGGCTTCTCGAGCAAGATCCTCATCACCAGGAGTATGTGCACACAAACAAGTCGCAAGGAAGTAAGTGAGGGTTGGGATTCCAGATAAAACAGCTGCTCTCTGTGTTGCCACTAGACATGTTTTGATATATGGTAAATTCCCGCAAATTAGCAGTTACTGCTTAGAAATCCAAATTCTAGCTTATCCCCAAGTAACTTGTTCCTGTAAGCCATTGTGTGGATTTCTTTTCTAGATCTTCTATCAACTTCAATATCAAAACTAAAATCACCAGGACATTCTGCTGTTCATTGACTTCTATTCACCCAGCTTGCAAGAACACGAAGATCTCAACAGGAACAAAAACTGTGACATTCAACACCGTATTTTAAACAGTGCTTCTTATTTCCTTTATTTTAACCTTAGAACTAGCAGAAAGAGAACAGGAAGATGGATCAGCAGTTATTTTAAATTTCCATACTTACTTATGATGACCACTGCTGTGGCGGTGATGGTGGTGGTGATGGTGGTGGTGTTTCGAGTGATGCTGGTCTTTTTCAGTGAGAGATGAGGATGAGGAGTTCGAATGTGAAGATCCCAGGCTCTTCCTCTGTTCTTTTGTCTTCTGTAGTACTCTCTTGTAGGACAACGTGCAGAGCCAGCACAGTAACTTCCCATCAACCTGGAAAATAAGTCACACATTTATTTTTCCAAGAAGACTTTCACTAGAAAGATGTAATTCAGTATTTGTGAGAAAATGTTTCACTTCATCTGTTATCTATAAGAAAAAACAGTCTCTCTTTGGCATGAAACAGTAACACTATATCCACAAATATATGCACTGTATTACTTAATATAGTGAATCTCTTTCTTTTTAGCATCTAAAGTTATGCTACAAGATAATGCAAGCAAATATTAGATCCATTCTATATCACAAAAGTGAGAATAACTTTTTAAGGGGTAAATCATTTTCAGACACCATGTACCCTCTCAACCCATTGCATTCCAGAGCAGAATCAAGATGTCCAGGCAACGTGTTACTTGTACCAAGTAAAATCTTCTGTAAAAACAGCATTATTCTTGGGTTCAGGCAAGAGGCTTATGAGGTGATTTCCTCAGCACCTTCTGGATTGAGAAAGTGGCACTCACCAAAGCTATTTAAGAAAGTGGAACACAAAGGGCTGCCCAGAGCAGACTACCTCTCTGGTGCTACACCTTAGGGCAATGCAGGCAGATTGGAAGCCGTGAAGTGACAGATTCAAGTTAATGACACACACAGGACGTAGCAAATGGGAAAAATAAAAAGCACCAACACTACTCAGCCACATAACCTCTGTCCACCAAATACTAGTGTCAGTTTTGCACTTAAAAAAGGAATCATTTACTCTAAAATAAATGAGCGCAATAGCTAACGCAAAGATCTCAAATTGCAGAATTTAATGGAAATACTGAAAAGCACAGCACGAAGACTTTAACTTGATATTAGCGGACTTCAGAAACACTCCTGATAATATTCCTCTTGCGAAGCAGGAGTGTCTAAGCCACTGCAGCTCCGGGACAAAGCTTACCTTCCTTCTTCCCTCCTCCTTTCGGTCGAAAGCACATTGCTGTTTGCACTGCTCGCACGTCTGAGGCGGCCCGTACTTCTTTTCCGAGTTTGTGCAACGCTGACATTTGGTGCCGATGAACGCTGCAATGATGTTACAGTATTGACAAGGCTTGGGCTGAAAAACAGAGCAGCAGAGTTCAAGTTAATATGACTTCTGTAACACACTATAGCAGGCATTTCAAATCGCCCAACAGCGCTTCAAAACTACTAGGGCTTCAGATTTCAAAAACTCCTTTATCTCTGCTGGTTCTACCTCCACTGCCAACTTTTTTTGCAATTAAATTCAATGAAAAAAAAAAAAGTAATACTAAAAAAAAAAAAACCAAAAACAAAACACCCCATACATTTTGACTGCGAACTCCCCTCTTTTTTGATCTAATGGTAACTTCTCTATCTTCTAGAATTACTCAGGGATTTGAGCACTCTATGGCTCCGAGATTAGTATCCCTGCAACTACAAGAAATTTAACATCCTTAAGACACCTTCAGGTCAGATTATCAGCTTTTATAACGTACATTATACTAGAATAATACAACATAAAAAGGAAAAATCCTGACACTTTTCTTCAGTCCGAAGAGGTAGTTTTTCTTAATTGAACTACTGCTAAAAAATATTACTGTCTCCGTCTTATCCTTGAGTTTCAAGCCTTTCAAAGAATGCTCTTTTTGTTCATTTACAAGACGCCTGACCACATACCAACACCTCTGACATATCTCCAACAAACTGAATTTCATCTAGCGTGTTTTATGCTAAGGATACAGAAACTGAACACTCTTGTTTCACAAACAAGATTAGCTCAATATCTCAGTAACTCAATGCAGAAATTGTGTGTTCATATGCTAAAAAGTTCTTTAAACTTTTATACAAATAAAAGTTTCATATACTAAAAGTTCTTCTAACTGAAGCTGCAATTGAGACGTGAAAATGCAAATTAACAACATAAATAGTAAAGGTTCATGAGTGTTAACAGCTTAATGTTGTCATCAAACCTCTAAAAAATTTAATACTTGTATCACATAAAAATGTGGTATTATTAGCTTTTCACACTCCAGCATTCATGGAAAACCCAGACAGTTAGCTATCTTCCTGTTGTCAACTGTGCTTAAGAGACTATGCAAAGTATTACTTTACATGTATAAAATGAAGTAACACTTTCTTGCTATGAATAGCTCTATTGCAGGTATTCATAACTGTTAGGCTATATATAATGGCAATGAAATTCATGTTGAAAAAAGGAACTGCAATCCAGGAAGAAACTGAAGAGCCGCGAATAATTTTCACTACTTTTCAAAAGGCTTTTTTTGTTGTTGTTTTTTTCTGGTCATAGCAAGTATGAAATTGAATTCCCCACAGATTTTTTTTTTTTCTTTCTGAATGTGAATGAACCCGAGTTTGTTTGTTAGAATTAAGAGCCTACTCACCGTTCCAAACTGCTTCACGTTTTGGGCACATTTCTTGCATATTGTATTAGTTTTGCTAAAGATAAAATTGCATAACGTTGAGTTCAGACACAAACGCTTTCCGCGAGATCTTTCCCCATGCAATTACTGTAACACACACATGCAAACGGGCCCGAGCAGTAAACAGTCAATGACGAGCAGACAAAGCGACCTGACGTTGCCCCTAATTACGTGACACGCGCGGGTCACCAGAGCAGACAGGTCGCTTGGCTGCTGCTCGTCTCTCCTCAGAGAGCTGAGCCCTTCCCCGAGCTGCTGCCGCGGCCGTGAGGAAGGGTCCTGGGCGCAGCCACGGCTGCTCTTTCCGCAGCGAGGCCGGCAAGGGGGACAGGGCTCCTGCACGGCTGCAGCGCGGCCGCTCCCCTACCTACCTCTCCTGCTGAAACTCCGACCGGCAGTAAGTGCATTTGACGATGGGATGCGCGATGCGACACTCCTGAAACACAAACGCACGGGGTGAGGGCGGCGGGTTTGGAGACAGGGCGCCGGGCAGCGGCAGCCTCCTCGCTCGGCACCGCTCCGCCCGCCAGGGCCCGTCCCGCGGCCCGGGCTGGACCGGCGCGACCGCCACAGCGCCGCCGGGAGCGCCTCGGCCGCGCGGCAACCGTTAACGGCCGCGGGGAGGGCGAGCGCAGCCGGCCGTTCGCGGCACAGGTGGCCGTTAACGGCCGGGAAGGCGCGGAGGGGGGTACCGGTGACCACTGCTGGCTGGCGGGGGGGATCCGTTACCGGGGCCCGGGGAGCTGCCGCGCGCCCCGCCGCACCTTGCAGAGCTGCTGGCCCTGCGAGAGCTCCTCGAACGGGTAGCGCTGGTTGCACTTGGTGCACGCGTAGAGAGCCGGCGCGGCCGCCGGCGCCGCCATCCGCGCCGCCGCCGCCGGC